AAGCCTAAATTTGGCTGTAATCCATAAATACAATCAAGGCAATGTGCACAAGTCTATAAACTGGAAAGTAAATAAAAATAAAATAAGCTTTTTTTGCTTATATGGAATAAACCAGATGTCTTCATTTGATGTTGGTTCATATCTGATATGCACTTAGGCTAAAGTTCAGTTGCATAAAATGAGAGAATCAAAAATTCATCCCAAAACTAATCTGAATTATCTAAATAAAACAGTATCTAAGCCACCATGAAAAAAAAATCATTTTTGCTTCTCAAATCAGGAAAAAAACAATTTATTGGTTTAATCAATTCCAAATAATATTCTCTCCAAACTATATATTCTCAGGGCCATGTGTCATCTTATACTGAAGCTATCCAAGACAACAGATAAAAGATCAAAAGTATGAATGTACCTGGAAATAAGGCTCTAAACAACTCTATAAATGCAGTAGATAAGTAACTTATAAATAAGATATTAAGAGTAGAAGAGGTTTTTACTACTACTTTGCACAGTATTCCTTTTTAATTATACAATTTATATACAGGTTAGAAAACCAGTTCTCAACCAGGGTAGCCTGAGATCCTTCCCAGGGCATTACAGGATGCCACACAATGTTAGCACTGCTGGGTGTACAAACATGATCTGGAAGGTAAATCCAGAGATTTGAAGTAGGAATGAATAGATTAAAACCATTCTGACATGTTATGGTCTTTCTGAGTTCTCTGCAAAAAAAAAAAAAAAAAAAAAAAAAATTGCTCTTTTATTTCCATAGTCAAAAAATGAATGAAAACTAAAAGCTGGCATTTTCCAAAGGGAGCTTTGAATCTAAAAAAGTTGAAAACCACTGTATTATGGACTGAACAGGTGTTTCATGAATATGTTTAATGAACCCATTGCAAGCCCATCACTGCAGCCCCAGAATTTTCATCTAAAACAGACTAAGTGATCACAAACAGCTACTCAATTGCTTCCTTTTTTCCACTTAGTACATTATCGTTACAAATTATACTTTGCTGAAGATAAATACATACAATTATTCCTAACACTTGCTTTGTAATTGCACAGCAAATGCTTGCACAACTACTTGAGGAGACAAAAATGGCTTTGTATGTACAGTATTCATATATTACATTTCTATAAAGTTACAATTACTTAAACTAAGTATTCCATGAATATATTAAGGAACACAATACATTACAGAAAGGCTCATCTGTACCCCATGTTGTGCAGACAGGTGGGAACTAGCGATACTGCCATACTTAACTTTGAGAAGATCAGAAGTGAGCACAAGGTTCAACACTAAAACTGTAAAAGCTGGAGACTCAGGTGGCATTACCTTTAGTCCTTCCAAACAAGAGCAACAGCCAGGCAGGACAGCTGCACAGAGGGCTTACTGGAGGCACGAGTCTTCTTCAACCACAGGGTGATATTCCAGAAACAGGGGCTACTATGCAGTTACAGTTCCTCTAATAAAAGAGGAAGAGCATCTTTTTATATAGACCAAATACTAAACAAGAAAATAAATGGGAAGAATGGGAAGTCACAGTACATAATCAAAACTAAGCCTCACTTAGCATAACAGAGACTCTGTGGGGATAATTCACCTGACTGCAATACTCACAGAGGGTGCAGTATGTTCAAAAAAACCCAAACCTAGGAAAAAAGGGAGAAGTTACTTAAAAGTATATCCACTTGCTTGAAGATCCAAAATGTAGCACGTTAGTGGCCTTTTACTTTCTGGATAGAGACAAACAGGTTAAAGAACAAGACCTCATGTTGGCGGCACTCCTAATCAAACAAAAACAAACTAACAAACAAAACAGATGGATGAGGCATTCAACAGCTAAAAAAAAAAAAAGTGTAATGGAGGACCCAGGCATCTGTTGGGAACATAATAGCTGGAGATGCATAGCCCCACAAATTAAATGCTTTTAATTCATCTGGACCCTATGACATTCACCTTAGAGTACGTGGGGAACTGGCTGTAGCAAGTTTTGAGACCTTATGTAGTACGGGTGAGAGTCTAGAAGGCTAGATAACAGCAAGTACTACGTCTGTCTTCAGAAAAAGAAAATGAAGGAGGACCCAGGGAGTTATAGACCAATTTACAAAAGGAAATTGGAACAAACAATCAGTCAATTTCAAGCATCAGGAACTTAACAAGGTGATAAAAACACCCAATATGTGTTTGTGAAGAAAAACAACAAACTAACCCAATTGTCTTCTATGAAAGGGAAACAGAGCGAAACAGTAATATGTGATACTTCTTGACCTTAGTATGGCTGCTTTGATGCATTGTTTCTAGCACTGGAAACTTTCTGAGAAATGTCCAGGGCTGGAATCTTTCCCAGAGAAGCTTTCCAGGCTGCAGCCACCCCCTGCTCTCCAGCCATTACAAGGGAGTGCACACTCTCTAAGTGAGTGAGACAATGGGGAGAGGCCCCCTGAACCATCCCTAGTCTGGAGGATGAATTGGGAGTGTTACTTGGCTGTTCTTCCCCTCCCCTCTCCATTCCTCCCTTCCTTGTCTTCAGCAGGAGAGGGATGAGTGGGGCAATGGTCCCCATGCATTCCCCAGACCAGGTTGCCTTCCCAAGTCTTCCCCAGTCCATGTCTCCAAGTCTTGGGAAGATTCAGGGAACAAGTCATCTCATCTAGGATCAGGAGTCAAGCTGCAGGTGAGATTTCAGTACTACATCTGTCTTCAGAAAAAAAAAAAAAGAAGGAAGACCCAGAGAGTTATAAGTATCTTTCTTCAAGATGAGGCAAGTGTCTTCTCAGACAAATGGACTGAATGCCTGTGGGTTGGAGGTTTCTAGTATGAGAATACTTTTCTGCTAGGAGAATTGCCAGTGTTTGTATGTGGCCATAGGCACTGCTTCACGTGGTCATCTCATTTTTTTAAGGTAAGGCTAACCAACTGGAAGTCCATGGGTCAGATGTGGACCCCCTGAGGGGTTAACCTGCAGCCACCAATCTGAGTGCTGTTCACCCATTGCTCTCCTGCTGCCACCTCTGGCCACCCTTTCCTTTCTCCAGCTTCCACTGTCTGCCTCTAGAACCTGCACATCTCAGGGGGACAGCGGAAAGGGTAACACAATGTCTGTACAGTACAATGTGCAACCTGTGTGATATGTGGGGGAGAGTTGTAGCCCATGTGGCAAGTGGCTGGAAGGACCTGAGGGTCTGGCCACTCATGTTCTAGAAAAATCTACAGCACAATGGATGGGCAACTTGTTGAAAAAAAAAACAGTCAAAGAGCAGTCATCAGTAGCTTCTTGGAGAACTACAAAGATGTATCAGATGAGATGCTACAGGGATTCCATCCTAGGTCCAATACCATTCAGTATTTCATTAATGATTACAATGATGAAAGAGAACATACACTTATTAAATTTGCAGAAAACACAAAGTTGAAAAGGTTTCAAGAGCTTTGTAGCATTTATAATTTTTGACAGATTGAAGAAATGGTACGAAATAAGTAGGATAAAGTTAGGTCAGGAAAAGAGCAGGGTACTACAAGTAAAGGGAAATAATGAACTGCACAAATAAAAAGTGAGGGACCACTAACCAGACAGCAATTCTGCAGAAGATCTGGGGATCATATAGTGAATCTGAACATGAGTCAATGGCACAGCACTGAAAAAAGCAAACATCCTTTTGGGGTTTCTATATATATGAGATGTGAAGTAATCCTTCCACTCTACTTTAACACTGGTAAAATCTCAACTAGAGTACTGCATTCACTTTTAAAAACTAAACTTTGAGAACTAAAGATAGACATGGAAGAAAATACCAGAGGGAAGGAACAAAAGTAATCTAGAAAACATGCAAGACAAATCTATGATGAGACCGGAAGAAGTGAGTCTTTAGTCTAAACCAATGACTAATTAAGTGACTGAATCTGACCCATGCTGGTCTGGAGGATTAGCAGCACATGGCTCAGCCCAGCACATTCCCCCCCCATTTCTCTGCCCTGCACCATGCCACTGATCCGCTCTCCAGCACCCCTCTCTGCATCCCACTCCACTTCGCTCTCTCATTCCTATGGCAACTGCTGTTAATCTATCACCACCATATTCACCCATCCATGCTGCAGCTGGAGATGGAAATCGGTGCTGCACATGATGGAAGCAGCAACAGAAAGCTGCTGCAGAGGGAAGCTGTGACCTGTGTGGCAAGGGGGAACCAGTGGCAGCTGCCAGGTAACAAACAGCAGCCCACCGCTCTAAAGGTTACCGATCTACAGTCCAGATAAGAACACCAAGGTGAGATGTGATAGCCTGCAGCTATGTTAAAAGGTTATTGCAGACGTGGAAAGATACTAACTGTTCTCCATGTCCCCTGAGCATAGGATAAGTAGTAATGGATAAATTGCAACAAGGAAACTTTTAGATGAGGTATTAGGAACATTTTTCTAGTAATAAAGAAAGATGATAGGTAGGCACTGAAACTACCTAGGGAGAATATGGAAATCTCCATCATTCAAGGTGTTAAGAAATGAAAGACAAACAGCAATTTCGGGTAGCTCACATACAGTTAATTCTGCCTTTAGGGAAGGCAGAAGAACTAGATGAATTCTCAAGACCCCATAAAACTTATTTTCTGTTCTTGCCCCAGCCATCCCAGAATTCCCTATGGCTGGCACAGGCAATAAGTAGCTCAAGGAGCACTTCAGTGCTGTACTGCAGTCATAAAATTATATAATCATGGAAAATTAGTATTAGAAAGGATGTCAGAGGGTCAACTAGTCCGGGGTAGGCAGCGTTTTTTGGCCAGAGTACCGAAAAAACCAATGTCTACCTTGGAAAGTGCTGGAGTGCTGACATGGCAGAGCCCAGAGCAGCTGTTTGCAGCCTCCAGGCTGCAGCTGGCCCACAGAGCCCAGTCTGTTTGCAGCAGGGCTTGCAGCCTCTCAGTTGCCTGCTGGGAGCACCCTGGGCTCCGCAGCTGGCAGCAGCTGCTTAGAGCCTGGGCTAGCAGTGGTGTGCCAAGCAAAATGGCCTTGTGTGCCATGCTCGGCACGTGCCAGGGGTTGGTGACCCCTGATCTAGTCGAACCCCCTGCTCAAATCAGTACCATACCCAACTATATCATCCCAACCAAGACTTTGTCTACTTAAGTCTTAAAAACATCTTAAGGGTAGAGATTCCACAACCTCTCTGGGTAGCCTGTTCCAGTGTTTTATTACCCTCCTTATGAAACAGTTTTTCCTAGTACCTTACCTAAGCCATGCTGCAACTAGAGACCATTCCTCCTTGTTCTGTCATCTGCCACCATTGAGAACAGTCTAGCTCCATCCCCTTTGGAACCTCCCTTCAGATAGCTGAAGGCTGTTATAAAATCCCCTCAGTCTTCTCTTCTCCAAACTAAATAAGCCCAGTTCCCTCAACCTCTCCTCAGAAGTCATGTGCCCCAGCCTCCTAACCATTTTTGTTGCCCTCTGCCCTCTCTCCAACTTGTCCACATCTTGTAGTGGGGTGTCCAAAACTGGACACACTACTCCAGATGTGGCCTTGCCAGTGCTAAATAGAGGGGAAGAATCACTTCCCTCTATCTGCTGACAACATGCCTAATAATGCACCCCAGTATGTGGT